CAGACTCAGCCAACCATGCAGATTACCTGAAAACTTCAATAAACTGTTGAGGTTTTCTCAGATTCAAGCAGATTCGTCCTGAAAACTCTGAGAATTTACAGAGGTCTTCTCAGATTCCACAACAACCATGCAATATGCGTCAACGTCGAAAATAACACTGAAAAAATCTCAAACAAACTCAAAATTTCTCAAAATATCTCAAAATATCTCATGGAAAAACCTCACTGATCTGAGCCCTCCCAGATCTATGCCTAATATCGGTTTTGATGATATTGATCATCGACGAGGCCACGCGCTACAAGGTCAGTGGCGCGATTCCTAGCCAGGAGCATGAGGATCTGATGAATGTCCTCATGATGCTATGGATACGGTACTTCGGGCCACCACAGCAGATTGTACTGGATCAGCAGCAATCCCTCATGTCGCATGAGGCTGGCACAGAGTTCGAGCGGCTGGGCATCACGCGCAGTCCAAGAGGAACAACAGCCGGCGAGCAGCACACTGGCACGGGACTAGTGGAACGCCACGTAGGTCTGCAGAAGCTGGACAAGAGGCGCGGGCAGAGTCAACGTGGAGAACGATTGGCTAGCGGCAGAAGTGGCCATGGCAGCGAATCAGACGATGTCCTATAGAGGAGTGACCCCTGCCATGAGCGTATTCGGCATCTTGCCGAGGGACTTCTATGAAGAAGATGCCACAGGGATCATGGCGTTGGCAGGTGCGTTGCAGACAGACCTGACGGTCTATGAGAAGGCTTTGAGGATCAGGCAGACATCGCTGGCGGCAGTACAACATGCAATTATTGAGGACGGGGTCGCTAGAGCCAACCGCACACGACCACATCAGCTACCGCTTGATCAGTTGGTGGCGGGCACTTCAGAGGTGGAGTTCTACCGTGAGGTGCAGAACGATGTGGGATGGCGAGGACCTGCGCTGCTTCTGCGACTGGACTCCGAAAAAGGCACGGCAGTGATCCAGTACCAAGGTAGACCCTATTTGGTGGCGCTCCGCCACGTCAGGCTATACAAAGGTATCTACCTGGTGGAGATTCCGAACGCAGAGACGGAAGATTCGTGGGGACGAGCGATGAAGCACGTGGAGGACATGGTTCCCTACAAGACCAACGTCATCGGATGGATATGCAAGAAGAATGGCACGTGGATCACGTCGCCAGTGGACATGCAGAAGGTTCGCGAGCTGTGGGAGAACCTGAAAGGCCATATCGGCGGCTATGACAACAAGACAGCTGGCAGGAGCTGTTCTGGGACACTCATTACGAGCGTTCCGGCCACCAAGGATGACAACAGGCACGCTGATTACATGGGTCAGAGGAGGCCGACAGTATGCGGTGCAGATGCACCCCAAGGACAATCACATCAGGCTGAAGCAGGTCAGTGGGCATTTGCTCGACGACCTATGCACCATCTATCTCTACTACTACACAATGACGGCTCAGGAAGAAGAGCAGAGTTTCAAGAAGCCGTTACTACCTTCCGCACAACCAGCACAGGAGGTAACGGACATGGACATTGAGGAGAAGCTGGAGGATCGCAAGAGGACCAGTCCTGAGACAAGGACAGTGGTCATGGCGCCGGAGAAGAAGAAGCAGAGAGTGAGCTTCCAGGAGGTCAGTCCACAGGAGGAAGAGTACCTCATGCAGTACTATCAGGCGGAGAAGATGAGGCACATCTTCTACGGCGACTTCCCAGATGGATGGAAGATCGAGAGCAGGATGCACACCGTCTACGTCAAGGAGCTGAGGCAGGTGGACTATGAACAGATGAGGAAGAGCTTACCACCGCTGTTCACCATGCACTACAAGTACAATGCATCAGTCATGGCAGATCTACGAGAGGCCGAGATCTTCCGTGTTGACGTGGAAGCCGATGCTATTGAGGAGGATGGGATGATTGAGATATGGCCACAGGTGGAAGAAGCTGACAGAGCAGAGATTCAGCAATTCACGGACGAGAAGGCTTTCAAGAAGATATGCCTGGACTACATGACATCAGAGATGATCCTGATCGACGCACGGTGGGTCAGGAAATGGAAGAGACTCCCGGACAAGAAACGCAAGGTCAAGTCACGGCTTTGCGCGAGAGGATTCATGGACAGTCAGAAGTCGTTGCTAGCCACTCGGTCAACGACGGCGACCAGGCTGTCGCAGTGAATGCTAGTGTCCAATGCAGCCAGAGGAGGATACACTCTGGAGAGTTGGGACATTGCCGGAGCTTTCCTGAAGGGTTTCAGCTTCGACAAGGTGAAGGAGTTGCTCAAGAAGAGAGGAATCAACACCCCGGACCGGAAGGTGGTGATCATTCCACCTGCCAATGTGTGGAGGCACTTGATGGAGATTGACCCAGAGAACTTCTGGATCCCGGAATCCAAGGTCGAGGGTTACGGTTTGCTGTGCGAGAAGCCGGTGTACGGGTTGAACGATGCACCGCTGGCATGGCAACTTTGCCTTCATGAGTTTGCCAAGGAGCAGAACGGCATCGCGAGCAGTCTGGATGAGAACATGATCATCTGGAAGGGTGACAAGCATATCAAGAGATTGGAGAACGGGCAGACAGTGACACCTATGGCCACCACGCATGTGGATGACATCGCACTATCTGCCGACGAGTCATGGCTGACCAACCTGTATGTTCTGTTCGTGAAGCGTTTCAAGAAGGTGACCAGGAACCGCCTACCATTCGAACACTGCGGATGTGAATACGGAGCCACGGTGGACGGTTTTTCCATTACTCAACGAGAATTCTGCAAGAAGATACCTTTAGCACCAGTACCAGCGAGAGCACCCGAAAGCAAGCTGCTACCGAAGGAGATCACATACCTAAAATCAGCACTCGGAGCTCTACAATGGCTGACAGCGACCAGACTGGACATCATTTCAGATGTATCAGCTCTACAGTCAGTGGCGAAGACAGGAGAGGTGAAACACGTGCAGCAGGTCAACAAGGTCATCAAGCAGGCGCAGAGTGTCAACAATCAGAACCTGGGTTTGCACTACAGGAGATTCCACAGCAAGCATCAACGCATAGTGGCAACACACGATGCCTCATCGGCAACGAAGGGACGATGCTATGCACAAGAAGGAATCCTGGTTTGCTTTTGGACGACATTTGGCACGGCCGAGAGATACCACAGAGACAGTTCGTCATGGTGGAGTCGGACACGTACTATATGCTCATGGTTGCAAGGCCAAACGCATTTCGTATAGCACGAGGCACTCAGAAACGCTCAGCGCAGTGAGCGCTATGGAAATAGCGACCTTGGTGCGACTTCGGATGAGTGAAGTGGACTACCCGAAGGTTATGCCGAGCATCAAGCAGCTCATCGGAATACGGGAAGCAGGCGACATGAACATGCCGCTGGACATGTACACAGACTGCAAGGATTACTTCTCATTGGTCACAGGGACATCATTGCCCCAAGATCGAACGCAGCGGTTGTATGTGCTCGCAGTTCGGGAATCGAGGATCGCTGGAAGAATCAGGCTCACGTGCCTGGTACCCACGGAGTATATGACGGCAGACGCGCTGACAAAGCCAATGGTCAGCCCAGTGATGATGGAGATGCTATCCACCGGACTGGTGGAGTTCCACAACGCCGACCACAACATGGAGGTGAAGTACCTTCCCGCCATCAAGGAATACACAGAGGAAGATATCATTGCAGGCGACCAGTCGATCATCGACAAGATCGCTTTCGGAGGGCTTGTCCTGCTTCAGGGAGGCAAGCTAGCACTATGCTTCGCAGCTATGGCCACCATGCCAACGGTGAGTGCAGGAAAGATAGGTGAAGACGTCCACGTCACCGTCAGTGCGGATGAGGATGACTTCTACACCAACTACTTCATCTATGGCATCATTGCCATCTCAATGGCTGCGGCGCTGTTGGTCGAGAGGACCATTTTCCAACTGATGCGCTGGCATTCCGATCACAGGGACGCCATCAACCAGTCAGAGCTAAGCTCGTTGCAAGGCGAGCTCGCAAATGCCATCAAGAAGGTCAAGGAGGAGAAGAACGCTCGAGAAGAAGCAGAACATGAATGTACTCTACTGAGGAGGACCCTTGAACGAGTCCAAGGAGAGCTGACGCGCGCGCACGAGAGGACAGGAGCACCTCAGAGCCAGAAGCGCCTCAGCACGTCCACGTAACTACCTCTGGACGCTGCTTTCACCAAGCAGGGTGCAGACACCTCAGACAGCTCACGTACAGACGATGCGAAGATTGCGGAGGCTCACTCTGGGCAAGAAGTGACCGGAGTGAAGTTTCACATACGGCATGAACCCATGTCACCGCAGGCCTTGAGCTCATATAGAAAAGCGAGTTATATATATATATATTGGAAAACCATTAGAATGACCGTTTTTTAGTGACACAATGGATCGTGAAAAGTTGAAGGCCATGAGCAGTTTGCGCAGTTTGATCCATGGAAACGGAGAAAGGGAAGCACTAAAACACATGGGAATGGGACAAGGGCTGTCAAGAGAAAAGAGAAGAAGGACACACTAAACCACCTTGCTAAACAACCTTGCCCCAAGGAGTTTGAGTTTAAAAGGTTGACCTTTGGACCTCTTGGTTTCCCAATGTTTCCCATCAATCTTTTGCTCGCAAAAGCGGGTAACCGGCACAGACAGAATCCATGGCACCAGGTGCGATGCCTGGAACCCTATGAAGAATCCAGTATCGCAGACATCCACGATTTGCAGTCCCAGGGCAAACTCATCTGATTGAGGCGCTAGTGCGGCTAGGCGCTATGTTTGGAGCGGGAAGATTTTATATGCCATTTTCTTATTTGACGGGTTCAGGCCTGCAGCCATGCATGTTGCTTGTACCCCTGCGCATTCATCGCGGCCAGTCTGAGCATTGAGTGTTCTTGGTGGCTCCCAGCCATCCGGTTCCCTAGCTTTTTGGCCTTTTAGTGTTTAGTGGTAGTTTCCATTTAACCCACTAAAAGTTACAGCCGGGCAGCCCAGTTGCCTGATGGCCAG